TATATACCCTTCATCTAAGTGTGTTTAAAATAAGTTTAATTTTATAACATTTCAATTTATTTTTGTATTCCCAACTCTACCGTTACTTTACCTATAACAAAACATAAAAAATAACAATTACCGCTAAACGAAAAACAACAAAATAGGCAAAACAATAAAATCATCATACAACACCACATACGCTTTTTCAAAAAGCAAATTTTCATAGGTTGTCTCGGATTATTGCTCATATCTATATTATTTGTGAACGGATTTTGTATAGGAAACTTTTCGAAAGCATGTCTGACATAATTATTGAAGATTTGGATACCGAAGGTATCTCTGGTCTTCAGAAAATTGATTTCAACAGACACACAGACGGACATGGATTAATCGACTCCGCTATCTATCTAATTATATTGTGGAAATTACCTCTGGTCTTCAGAAAATTGATTTCAACAGACACACAGACGGACATGGATTAATCGACTCCGCTATCTATCTAATTATATTGTGGAAATTACAAACCGAATGACAAACTTATATATATATACCCTTCTCACGAAGGTGAGTAGGAAATCTAAAAAAAGTTAGCTTGGTTTAGTAAAATGTAAAGGATTTTTTTGCAACATCATCAACAGTATCAACAGCAACATCACTATGGTCATAAATACGTGATCAAAATTTTAAATCATTATAACAGAAAACTGAAATAAAAATTTGTATGCTTTGAAAAAGATACGAGGAAAGAGCGTAGTGCCAAATACAAAATGAACACATATTAGACATTTTGTATTTGGATATAAACTTACCTAAAACATATTTTCTTTTCCGAAAAATGTATTCACTCATACTTACTGATTTGTTCAATATCGATTTCAAATACTTTCCCTACAAATATGTAGCAAGCTAGAAAGAGAACTTTAAATTATTAAATTTAGTTACATATATTAATATAGAATTTAAACATTGCGGAATTAATTAATTTTTTTCATTTTATTTCAGTTAAAAAATAATTAATTTATTGCCATTTATCGATTTTATTAAGGTGTTTGTAACCTTTACGCAGCTGCATTTACTTTCACTAGAAGGCCTTGAGTCCATTTTAAAATGGAACTGTACATTTCATAGGTTTTATTTTAACGGAATTAATTTTTTACATTTTTGCTTGAGTATTTCTCTATTTTTGCTCGCAAAAATTTTTAAAATGAAAACTAAATGGAAAGAGTTTTAAATAAGGCGAACATGCGAAAAGATATTTAAAATTAATGTGGCATGCTGAATAACAGCTGCAATGAAACAAGCGTACACGCTAGCGAACATTTACTTTACATATGTATGTATATTGTACATACAAATATGTAGATTAGAGGGACTCAGAATGTAATTTTTGTTTGAATGGATCTTATATTATTTATTAGTGTCTGTAACTTACATGTGTAAGTTACAAATCCGATAATGACAACCAGTGCCGGAAATTTATTAAAAAGTATGTATAAAATTGTAAACAATATGACTTTTTATAATTTCTTTAAAAATTATGCCATTCTATTTTCTTAACATTTCGATCAAATCTTATATATAAAATTCTCTTTTCAAAGTATAAAATATTAATATCGAGTGACAAACAAGCACAAATATATATGTAGCAAAAACGATTATTTAATGACTATTTTAATTTTTTTTTGTACTCTGAAAATAATCCATGCCTAACACATGTATATAATAATATATACGAAATTTTATTTTGCAAAATAAAACAAAGTTTCTTAATATATACAAAAAAATATGTTACAAAAGGTCTTCGTACTTTTGTGAAATTAGAAAAGGGTTTAATAAAATAATATTTCGTATTCTACATGAAATTATCGTAAATATTACGAAAAAAGTAATTAAGATTCTTTTTGTAAAGATAAGAATGATTTATTTTCAGTGTAGATATTTTTGTTTACGTCACTTGTCCATGATTTTTTCTATCCTTGGATAGTCCATTTTGCTTGAAGATAAGATTTGGTGAAAATGTTATGATAATATAATTTTAATTGCACAATTTTTGTATAAAACAAAAAAGTCCTATCGGCTACAAAATTTTACATATTTCAATCGGTTCCCGTTATCTTTTTTGGTTAAAATTTTTCACCAATTAGTTTTAGACACTAATGAACAAAATGAGACCCATCCAAGTCAAATTTATATTTTTTGGCTCCTCTAATGTACATGCACTAAAACACATTTATGGTGTAATGTGTTAGTATGTATGTATGTGTGGGCTATTTCACCAAAGACATGCAGAGGCTTTTGAAGTACATACACAATAACACATTTATCTTCCAATGAAAGTACAAGTAAAAGTTCAACTACATTCCAACAACAACATTGTCATGTGAAAGGAAATAAAATAGTAAGACGACAAAAAACAATCTCAACACCCTCATCGTGGAAATAAGGTAACAGTTACGTGTGAATTAAATTTGCATTATGGCATACTTTATTCTATTTTTCTATATGTGTATCAATGTTACAACACACATCAGATTATGATATACATTAGGGTATTTGGTTATTTGAGTTTTTAATTTAATCTGTTTATTCGACAAATCATTTTCGATGTTTTCACTTAACCGGTTAAAAATTCTAGACGATTCATATTATGAAAAATTTAATTTAAAATATTCGTTTTAATAAGCATGTTTTTGGAGGCTTTTCTATTCATGTAGCGCACTTTTTTTTTTTTTTAACTTCGGTTAAAAATTAGTATCTATCTATACTAGTTTCGAAAACATTAGGCTTAGAATGTTTTATTACATGTGCATTTCAAGTTTCGAGGAGTGTATGTATACAAAAGATGCTATATACTCATACATAGAAGATAAGGATGATGATTACAACATAATAAACTAAAAAATATATATATAATCACACCTTTCCTTGTACATATGAGTTTTTAGTAAAAAAGAAAAAAAAAAAAAAAAAAACGTGCAAACAACAACTATATCTTGAGAACTAGTGCTAGTTTTAAAGACAAAACTATATATTTTTATCTTTAATGTGTGACAGGCATTTTAAGAAGTTTTCAAACTATTTTTTTATTTTATTAATATAGGAAAAACTAATAAATTTTAAACGACTGGAAGCATTATAACTCAGACATCACATTAAAACGGGTTTGAAATAACTGTTAAAAATTAATGATTGAAAGAATAACACAAAAAAATATAACCATATAGGGCACCACTAAGTGAAAAACGATAAAAAAAGACCCGTGTCTCCAATTTTTCACAAAGCCATGCTCTTTTTTATTTACCCCCAAATTTTTGGAGTCTCGATGTCATTTTTGCAAAAAAGTGATAATTTTCTCAGGCTCATATCTTGCAAACCGTTCGGAATTTTGATTTACTCTCGGAGGCAAGGTTGTAGCTCTTGTCATAATGAACATAAAGAAAATTGTGAACATATAAAATCAAAAAACTTCAAAAAATCGATTTTTTACGCAAAAAAAAATATTTCAAGTGCATATTTAAATTAGGCGTATACATAATATTTGTAAAATAAATAAATCATTAACACGTATACGTACATGAGTCGCTAATAAATTTCACAATGTAAAACTTTCTACCTGAAATAAAAAAATTAAGATGAAGTTTTTATAATTTTATATGTTCAGAATTTTTGTTCTTTATGATAAGAACTACAACTTTGCCTCAAAGAATAAATCAAAATACCGAACGGATTGCAAAATATGAGCCTGATAAAATTATAATTTTTTTAAAAATGACACCGAGGCACCAAATCTTTGTTGTCAAATAAAAAAGTGCATGACTTTGGTATTTTATCACATAGTGGTGTTCGTATATGCATATATTTACTTGACTTAAAAAATTGCACACAGTGTAATCAACAACAACTTACTTTTCAATGTGGATTAATGGATTTTAAAAAGGAAAAAAGAATAGTTAACAAATTTTTAACAAATTCCTAATCATAAAGAAAGACATAACGTTTTTTTCTTCAACAGTTAACAACAACAAAATACACTGATATTTTTTTTAAAGATAAACAAGTATCTTGTGCATAGTTTAAGGCTTAAACGTGTTTAATATTATTTTGCTTTTAATTTCATTTATTAATTTGAATGTTTATACTTTATTTAATAGTTATACGTTTTTTTTATATTAAACTTTCACATATTCTCTTTTTAAAATATCATTATTTTTCATTTTATTTTTCTATACTTCCTTTATATGGAATCTTATCCTTTTAATTCGTATTCTTTTGAATTTTTCTATTTTTTCTTGTACATTTTTTTACTGATTTATTATTTTTCGTTTCAAAATTTACTTTTTTATTTTTCAACCGCACAATTCAAAACTGTATACTATATAATGAAAATTTAAAAAAAGATCTTCAAAAACTTTCGAGAACAATATTCCAATTATATTGGCCTACATGATGCAAACATTTTTCATAAACAAGTTTCCCCTAAGAAATTTCATTTTGAAAATTTGAAAAAAGTAACAATTTGCCTAAAAATTTCTCATATAATATTTCCAAAAAGCTAAAGCAACTCAATAAATAAAAATATAATATTTAAAATTTAAACAAGTTTATTATGAAATTTTGAATATTCTATACCGCTGGACTTTTTATGGATACCTATGACTTCATCACACACTTTATTTTGACGAATGTATATTGATCATTTTTGATGAAAAATGGAAAAGTATCCTTTATAGCATGTAGTGACATCAAATTCTAAAAAATAACTTATTTTTCATTGGAAACGTAACTTATTATAACTCAAAATTATGCTCTAAATCGAGAAAAATTAAAAAAAAACTTGGGACACCGATGTCCCGTTTCACAAATTCAATGCTAACTAAATTGAAAAAAATTTAATTTGAAATTTTGAAGTAAAAACAACCTCAACAACATGAATGTATGTCTAAAAATAAAATTAATGAAAACATATACGGCCTTATGAATAATGAAAACCGAGCTGCTAACTTTTTTTGTGTGTAAATTCCCATAAGGGAAAGTTGGCAGCTTGTTAGTCAGCAGTTAGTTTTTTACTATGCATAAGGCCGTTTCAGTTTTTATTAATACTCTCTTATCACCTTTTAATAATAAGAGTGAGTCACAACCTGGAAAACTACATACGTACATATCACGTTCCATTAATTTTTACACATTAAGACTACTACTTAATTACATTACGATCTGTACCAAAGTTGAATATAAAAATGCAACTATTGTTGAGAATACAGAGTATTGAGGTGTAACACCAGCCGTATAACATCTTAAAAAATAAAAATAAATAAATTTTTTGAAAAATATATATCTTTTTTTAAATTTACTTACTTTGGTGATTGTGTAACTAGTGGCATAGTGCCAAATTCAAAATCCGAATATAGAAGGGAGGCACTGTCCTCTAGGTCAATGACTTGAGTCAAGTTTGGATAGCGTTCACGTGTCAGTATTATACCAAACGACATTGATGTGTTAGTGGCATTTGTGAATCCGCAAACTAAAGCATAATTATTGTAATCAGTATTTAATAGTTTATAGACGGTATTTTCTGTTGTTTTTGATCCATCTGTATATGAAATATCCATCTGTATATGAAATGTTATAGCCAATCTTATCTGAATTTGATAAAGATACATTGGCATACATGGTGCGATTTTCCCACAAATAAATGCCTGAAACTGCATACGTCGTAGCTATTTGCAATATGTTCTCTGGTTGAATCTCAGTAAAATTAACTTTTACGCAGGCAATATTAGAAGGTAGAACTGAATTTCTCAAACTGTTTTTCGACGAATGAAACTACAAAATGTCAGACATTTGTTATCTCATATTTGGAGATTAATTAACCAATTTATTAAAAAAACACAACACCTTGTTTTTAATACTACATATAATTTTTTTTTTTTTTTTTACCAAATCAATTTATAAAAAAAAAAATTAAGTGAGGGAATTGATTTATAAAATAACCCATTAATTATAATAATAAAGTTCTAATTTTAAAAGTTGTTAAAAATTAATTGATTGCCAAAACGACATTTTGCAGCTTAGAAATTTTGTACTTATATTTGATTCTGAAGTAGTTCGATCTGGACGTTTTATTTCTTACTTGTCTGCAAAAATATACTTTCTCACTCCTTTCAAATTTAATGCATTCTGGTACCGATAATTTTTTTGAATTTTTTTGATTCTTAGGTGAATTACCGGTATCAATAATTAAATGAAAATATATGTACATATGTTTATTGTTTGATTTTATTTTGATTTTTTGCAATCAAAGTGTTTAAATATTTTAAATACAATATCATCAACAAATCAGAATTTGGAAAAACATTAAGAAGTGAGTTCGGTGGCACAAGGCTTATTTAAAATTAAATATTTCAGAAACGTTTGAAAAAATAGAGAGCCGATAAGATTTTGCATATTAATATCCTTAATTCTATAAAATGTTTTATTAAAGCAGGAATTCGTTGCAGACTAGTCTCAAAAAATGTTTAAGGATTTTGTAGTGGACGTGTACAGACGTCATTTACGATGCGTCTTGTTAATAAATCCTCTGAAATACGTATCGACCATTTACTGTAAACCTGGCAGAACTAGAAATTCGATTTTTTTAACTATTTAAGTACCCACTACAAACTCTTCCATATATCTAGTTTTATCTCTTTGAATAAAACAGATTTTTATTTTCTTGCTCTTTTTAAATTTTATTGAAAATAAAACAAAATATTATTATTAATATTTCTTTAATATTATTTTTCATCATTAGTTTCAGATGACAGAAATCAAAATCGCATATAAACATGAAAATATTGTTGCAAATATTGTGTATTGAGTGCCAGCTCCAGCAGCGTAACATCTGTGAAAAGTAGTTTTAACAGAAACAAGAAATTTTTGTATTGAGAAATACTTACGTTGGTGATTGAGTGACCAATGGTAGGGTGCCAAAGGAAAAATCCGAATATAAAGAAGAGGCTTGATCTTCTATAGTATTGAGTAGTGTTGTATTTGGATAACGTTCACGAGTCAGTATTAAGCCGAAGGACGTTGCGTTATTGGTAGCATTTGTATAGCCGCAAAATAAGGCATAACTAGTGTAATCAGTGTTCAAGAGTTTATAGACAGTATATTTGGTTGTAGAAATACCATCAATATATGAAATATTGTAGCCGTTACTATTTTCGGTTGCCAACGATACATTGGCATACATGGTTTGATTAACCCACAAATAAGTGTTTGAGACCACGTTTGTGGTTGCTATTTGCAAGACATTCTCCGGTTGAATTTCTGTAAAGTTGACTTTTACACAGGCCAGTGTGGCAAGTGCTGGTCTTCGAGCCACTTCCCACCACACTCCACTTATCTGCGAAGCGGGACATGTAAAAATTTAAATAATAATTATATGCAGCTGGACATACCTGAGTGACATTAAAAGCCATGCTAGGTGAGTCTGAGCATAATGTTGGTTGAGTTTGTGCTTTAGCTGCATTATTTGCAAGAAACTCCAATCCAATTATTACCAATAACTTTAACATGTTCTAGACATTAACTTATTCGGTGGGTAACTGATATAAAACTGATTTTGATATGACATTTGGTGAATGAAACTACATAATTTCACATTTTGTATTATTCATTGATTTTTTTGTTGTTACCTCAATTTTGATATTAAAAACTCATTAAGATATATTTACACATTGAAATGGCTTAATGCAAAAAGATGTATGGGTCGGTCACATGACTTCTAACACTGAAAACAAAAAACGTTTTCAGTTTATACTATTTATTTGCGAAACTTTGCACTATGTATGCTAACCTAAGACTATTTGTAAATCAATTAAATTTTTTATATGTAAATAAGTCTGGTTTTCGGTGCTAATAAAAATAAATATGTGTATGTGAACACATATACATACATATAAATGAGCAAAATCAATTTTTTTCAGAATTGATGAAAATGATTTGCCTTGTATTTTGTAATTTTTTAAAATAAATAAAAGTTTTGACACATTGGTATAATTTACGAAAACATGTATGTATTGTATTATTATCTGTCAACTTCATGATCATCTAATATTTTAAAAATTAAAAAAATGCTTTAAAACCAGAGTTTTTTCAATAATTTCAAAACTGTGCTCTCAGTTGATAACTTACAGAGCCCTCCTTTATAAACAAGAGTCACAATGTATTTAATAGGTGTAGTAATTTCACGCAATTTAAGGTATATTTTGTTGATGCCAGAGATCTAAGGACAGGACAGAGCTTTTACAAACTTGCCAAGAAGAGGCGTACATTTTTTAAAAATGTGACATTTCTAAGTGTGCCATTCAGTTATTTACGAATGCAGTTGTAATACCGCGTAAGTTTAATTTCATAGTTAACACATCCGAGTCAAATTCACATTAAAAAACTGGTATGTACGAACTTTTTATGACAATTTAAAATTTTTGGCAAAATTTAAATTTCTTTTATTTTTATATTTTTAACTAAAGACATGATGCAAACATTTTATAAATTTTTTCCAGTAAATTATAATGTGAAAGTAAAATACAATTTTTTCATTTATAGCGGTCCCAGCAGCATTTTAACACTTTTAACAATTTAAACACATTCACTATAATATATAATATACATATATAGAATTCATACATAATAATAATACATAATTAAAATTGTGTTTTCAAATCAGTCGAAAAAAAAATTTGCAAAAAAATATTAACGATTGTACTGTGATATAAAAATATAAGAGAATGCTACTTCAAATAGCCATATCTTCCATACGGACTGAGATATTAACTTAGTTCATTTTGCAATGCATTGAAAATTATTTCTAATTTTAGGAAAATTTTTTCGAAATTCTTTTATCTTCAAGCATTTCTGCTCATTTGTCATATCAGGTTTTATGAAAGTATGTTTCTCATCTAAACTTAAACTAAATTTTAACTTATCGAATATACGTGAAAATTGAGTTTATGACGCCCTTCTTACGAAGATTTCTGAACCCTCAAATCTAAAAATTTATAAGTTAAAAATTGAAGTCCATTTAAGTGTAATAAAATGATCTTGTAAAGCACCAAGAGCAAAAAACGATGGACCGTCCTTAGAAAAGATCAGTGGTTTATTAAAAATATTAAAATAAACATTTCAAATAATCGAATCTGTTGTTTATATTAAGTTATTTACTGACCACCTTCAGACTTTTACTGGTTGGTCAAAGCAATAAACTATTTTAATTTTTGTCTAACATAATGTGTGAACAATTTCTTCATTAAAAGTTTCATTATGAGTTACATTTACATATTAAAAAGAAATTATTTCAAACTTGTGAAATCCAATTCTACAAATAAATAAAATACAACTTTATTTTAAGGGCAAGTCTAATGTGCAAACTTGTATTATTTGATAAATATTTATAATTCCTTTTTTCATTGTAATAAGAAATGAATGTGTAGGCTTTTTTGCTATATAAAAATGAATGTGTGTTTATTTGTTTGTGGGTTTGTTTGTTTGAAGTCTATAGACGACTAAAATGCTGGACCGATTTTCTTGAAACTTTAATAATGCCTCCCTTTATGTATTGTCTATTTTTATTTCGATATTTTAAGTGGGCGAGGTGTCACGCCTAAAATATGAATTAAAAGTTGCATATCTCAGAATCTGCAAATTTTGAATGGATAACTTTGACATCCATATGATTATGTGGGGGAAAGGCATATGAATTAAATAAACAAATCGTTTACCTGGGAAACAACTAGAGCTAGAATCTTCAAATTTTGTACGAAGAACTTTGACAACCAATTAAATACGTGGGGAAAAAGGGGGACTTTCATTAGATGGTCTGGAAACCTCTCATATGAATGAGATACCTCAAATTTTGCACGAAAAACATTGTCATCTATGTTAACATTTGGGTAACAAATTGGCGGACTAACAATCAGGGGCGGGTTACCTCGCATAAAATTCGTATATATGGGAAACTATTAGAACTAGAATACTCAAATTTTGCACGAAGAACTTTGACATTAATCTGACATAAGGGGAAACCTATTAGATAATTAAAATTTTCTGTTGGCATCTCCCATATGCAGTAAGCCCAAAATAAACTTATAGGGAAACCATTACAGCTAGAATATTTAAAAATCGTAAAGTGCGTTTTTTATTTATGTATATCGTTTTTAGGGTAGCAAAGTACACTGGGTATAGCTAGTGTATGTATAAATATGAATGATAATAAATAATTTCCCTTCAATTTTTTAAGCATTATTAACTGATAAAACATTTTGCTGTCATTCTTTTGAAAAGTCTTTTCCAAGAACAAAATATAAAATATCAAGTGGAATTACATTTTACATCTACACATAAAACTTTATTTAAAATTTCATTAAGATCTCAAAAAGAAAAAAAATCGATATGAAGAAATGTTATTTTAAATCTGTTGTTAATTTTCAGTCGCTCTATAAAAGATAATTTATTTATGTATTTTTAAACTATTTGAGTTAATTTCATTTGTATTTTTAGTGGGCTTAGAACGCAATTTTAACATTTAATTTTAAACAGCTATAACTTAAGTGGCTTTTGCTAAAAATTATTCACAAAAAAACAATGTGATGTGCTATTTAAAAAAAATAATATTTTAACCCTAAAATCTAAAATAAAAAGAGAATTTCCCATATAACATTATAAATATATATGTATATGTTAGGTAGTGCTTATTTAATTGTTTTTATTTGAACAATAAATCAGTTCTTCTCAATTAAATCATTAAGCACTCACATGATAAAAACAATTTATTGAATGCTATTAATATGTGTACACTCTAGCTCAATTAAATAGAGCAACATTTAATTTTTTCATTTCGATGTGATTATAAACTTAAGATACTTTCATACACCTAATATTTGACGAAAAAGACGTAAACATTATTTTTTGTATATGTTTTATTGAACTTACATGATTTCCGTAATTACAAATAATGTCGAAACTAATTTTAAAGTAGTTATGAAGTGATAACTTCAAAGATATTTTATATTCATGTATAAAATATATATATCAAGGAAATATCAATAACGATTTTTTAGGAATCACGTAATTTTCTACAAATATTTGATACTCAGGTGTGAACGTGCCATTAAAGATGCGTTTACATTCTTTAAAAATTTCTTCAAATGCCAATAATCTTTATAGTTGAATGATATTTATTAAAAACGAACAAATGATATATTTAAAATTTGTCTTATTTTATTGCCAGTCAGTGAATAGTTGCAGTACACCTGGAATGTCATTATGTTTATGTACAGACATGTATGTATATGTATTTCCCGATAAAAAATGAAATTTATCTTTTATTACATTCTTATCAATATCAAAAAAAAAAAAAATAATAATAATAATAATAATAAAACACAATTAATTTGTTTTTGCTAAACAAAAATGATTCACACAATATTTGCATTGTTTATTTGTCTTCTTTATTTCGTTGTAATCGTTTTTTTCTTCTTTTTGTATGAAATGGAGTTTTTTGTTGAGAACAAATACTTTTTTATCTTATCAGTTTGTACTATGTTGGCTTATTTCATCGGTAATTGGGAGCAAAACAATTAAAAAAGAAACAACATAAAAAGTTTAATAATTAATTATGTACTAGTTATATCTAGGTGTGAGTAATAGACGTGAAATGCAATTTTTGAAATGGGAAAGAGCAAAGTTTATTTAGCAAAAATTAAATTATCACCACAATAAGTGATTTGAGATGTACCCAAATAAATAACATTAAAACTAATACATACTATGTATTCCAATACTAATGATGAATTTTATTTTTAATGCTTTTTATGAAATATTTAAAATAAACGTTCAAAGATTCCATTAGTAGTTTTTATATTGTTGGCAAGTTACAAATTGAAATATAATAAATTAAAATAACAGCAAATATTTAAGTTCTTCTTAATTTAATAAGCAAATTTGAGAAGAGCATAGAGGGCTGCAAATAATGTTGCAAGAACGGGAACTGAAGTAGAAGCAGAGCTAGCATGGCAACTGTAAAATTAATTTTTTATTAATATGAATTCAATTAAATTGTGTTTATTTATGTTACTTACGACTGGGATTGTGTAATATTGGCAACGGAACTGCCGTTAAAGCCGGGAAGGATTTGAGAAGCATTACTCTTAACTTCCAATAACCAGTTGGCGTTAGGAATTTGTGTGCGGGTTAAAATTATACCGAATGATGTTGAAGGGTCACTAACATTGGTAAAGCCACATAAAACGACATTTGAAGTGTAATTAGCACTCAAAATTTTGTAGGTTATGTTGGCACCATTAGTATTGCTGTAGCTCACATTGAAACCAGTGTTGGCATTGATCTGACTTATGTTTACGTTGGCCTGGTCATTTTTATCCATCAACAAGCCATTTTGAGAGGCAGAATACATTGTTTTTATGTTGAGAGTTTGACCACCGACAACATCAACGTGTACATGTACGCAAGAAATATTTTTAGCGGGCGCACGAATCTCTTCATACCAGTCACCAGCAAACTGAGTTTTAAAATCATGTGATTGGTAAGTCTTATCTGAGTTAATTGATATTATATTATATACTTACCAAAGTGGCATTAACATTCGACATGCCATTAACTGTTTGACATGTTGCGGCAGTGTTAGATTGAGCCTCAACACTTAAGACACTCACAATTGCAATTAAGGCTACGGCGAACATTTTTGATTGAAACATTTTAATTATATTTTTTTATAATTATTTGTAAATAATTTTTAATCGTTATTCGAATATGAAGTTTCTTTTTATTCTTTCTTTCTGCGCTTTACAACGTTTTAGTTCGCTTGTGAAAATATGACTGAAATTCCAAGCGTAGTGTTTATAATAATTTATATTTTCATGTTTTTTTCGGTCGTCAAATATCAGTATCTTCTTCACTTTTTTATCTTTTCTACAAGCTTCGGTATGAAGCTTATTTTGTGGTAGCACCAATAAGATAAGAATTAGTTTTTTATAGACACATTTATACTTATGAACGTAAATGTTTTATACCCTTTTTTTCGTTATACCGACAGAACAAAATGAGTAATAAATGCTTTTCTTCTTGTATTGAAATTTATACCTATATTTTTGTTATATAATTACAAATACTAATAATTTTTTTGGGGATTTTTGGAATGTTTATTCTTTGAATGCTTTATGTGTTTATAAGTTAATTAAAAATATATAATAGCCCTATTGTACCCACGAGTTCAATTCTGTGATTCCAAAACCCAACTCCTTTGTGTTTTTATAGAAACTTCAAATATTTTATAATAGTGCACGAAATTGATTGAATATTGCCAAATTACTCCATTTCTAATAATATCTTTCAATTTATTTATTCAAATGCAAGAAGTTATTCTAGCAGATCGATTAAAAATTGAGTCCACTGAAAAAATATACCCTCTTTTTGAAACTTTTATCAAAACAAATTTTATTTATTTTAAATTTTTATTAAACCCATATAAACACAAAAAAAGCTTTCGTTACCAAGTAAGGGGTTAAAATGCAAAAATGTACTTACAAAGTATCATTTTAAGTCATTATTTTAACAATGTGATATCATTGGAGGCAAGTACTTACCACGTTCACTTATAGCTTTGCTGGAAAGTAGTAATATAAAACATTATTAATAAGACGTTATTAGACTACTAATGTAATAAGGACGATATGTAGTAGTCATTGAAAAATATTATATAAATTAGTATGTGAGTATTCACAATTGAAAGTCATTACCAATTTTTTGCTGGGAATTTTATTGATCTAAAAGTTTTTTTTCAATATTAGTTTCGCTCGAAACTTAACTTTTTGACAATTAATCAAACGGTATTAACTTATACAATAATGATTCATATGAGCGACAAAATATTAAATAATGACACAATTGTAGAGACAAATTAAATACATTCGTACGTAATAAATTAGAATAGTAAAGTACATAAATTTTTGTCCATAAATTAAAAAGAATTGGTTTGTTTTATTTTTGTTTGTTTCAATTTATCGAAGAGAACTAGACAAAAAACTGAAAACGAAAAATCTAATTCTAGTATCAAACTTATTTCAGTATAATTTATTGCCACCCCATATAAATGATTACTAAAGTTTCTGAAAACGCTTTCTCCAATGTTTAAGAACTAATAACATTATTTATATTTGAAACCTTCGAGGAAAAAAACTAGTTCTAGAACGAGTGCAAAGAGTACCACTTAAGATTCTTAAACAATAAAATTGTCGCCATTACTTCTGGAACAGGTTCCTCGGAACACTGTTGTGGTTCGAAAATACTTCTAAAGAGTATTCAAGGAACTAGTTCTTTGACACTAGTTACACCGTCCGACACTCAAAATTAGACACGAACTGGATTAATATACATACGTCTGAAACTATAAATTTAATGGAGAAAAACTGCGTTTTAAGTTTTTCATTTCGTGATCCTGTGTCCTTTTTGAGGGATTTCAAAGTTTTAAAATGTACATTTTTCAAAAAATATTTTAAAATACTTCTACTGATCAGTAGTATTTTAAATATTTTTTAAAAAATTTACTTTTTAAAACTTTAGAGTCTTTTAAAAAGGACACAAGATCACGAAATGAAAAACTAGAAACGCAGTTTTTCTCCATTAAATTTATAGTTGCAGACGTATATCATCCGGTTCGTGTCTAACGAAATTTTTCTCATTTTGTTGGACGATGTTATACATTGGTACTTCATAGGGTTGTCATTCGAATAAAAATTATTTGATTAATAGAGGAAAAAAATTACTTTTTTTTGAACGAATAAAAAATTTTAATTTAGAATATAGAATAATTCAAACAATTTTTGTCGATTAATCGAATATTCGAATAATATTTTAATGTTCCTTTTTACGAATATTTTATTATAGTATTAAATAAAGAATCACTTTTATATTTTGTAAAACAAATACTAAATCTAAAGAACTAATTCTTGTAATATTCGGAAGCACCTTTCAGTAGAACGGTAGATATATATTTTTTTCGCATAGTGTTATTCACTTCTATTAATATTTTATTAAATTATTCGAATAAATAAATCTATTAGTCATTCGTTATAAAATTTGAATAATTTTCAAAATTTGATCGACTACTCGAATGAAAAAATATAGTAAATTTTTATTCGAATAATTTTAAACACGAATAATTGACAACCATAGTACCACACTAGTTCGGTGGATCGCATACTAGTTCCGAAACAACTTTTTGAATCATGATTCATGAATGTTTGGTACTAGGTTTCTTTGGCACTGTATAGAACCCTTAGGAAGGAACGTTTAGGGGATGAGATAGGTAAAAAGGGGTAAAAGTTGGTTTATTTAAAAAATTGGTGTTGGTGCTTCACGGTTTTAATTCCATATTACCAAAAGTCCTTATACAATAACACGTATGTCAAAAATTCGCCAAAAATAGTTTTATTTTTTTTTGATTTGGGAGATATAAAAAAAATAATATAAATATAAAAACTATAATTATTATTATTATTTGAAATCTTAGTAAGCATGAAAAAGACGTTTTTTATAATAAAATTTCAGTTTTATTTATTTTTTTTCTTATGAAGTTTATATATTTATAGTAATTGTTGATTTTACATTATTTAATGTTTTCTTATTTAAAGTATTGTTTAGTTTGTCTTTCATTATCTTAGTTATTTGTATAATATTGAATTGCTTTTGTATTTCTCCAGCACTCTCTAAGTACATACATATGTATAATTTTCTTCTCTTATATCGTCTTAATAGTTGTTTATTCTTTTTTTATGAAAAAAATAAATTTTATCTACTTTTTTACTAAAATTAGTTGTTGATTCAATTAAGTTTTATTTGAATTCATGGAATTGCTCAGTATTAAAAATATAAATTCGATTTAATCGTTTCATTATTAAATATTTTTGTTATATTAGTTTTCAGAATCAACGCGGAAATGGTCTTAAACTGTCAAGAGACCATAAATTATATAAGAAATATATGTATTTATGTATTAAAGAGAGAAAAAAGTTTATTTAGTTTATAAAAGTAAAGATTTATAATGTATTTTATTTCTCTGATATGATTCATACCTTGTGCTTTATACTTTATTTATAAAACAAATTCTAATATTTATTTTTTAGACGTAAAAATGGCAGAGAAATTTAGGGTAGGACATCTGTAAGTGTAAGGAATACCAATTACTTTTTCGTTACTCATACGCCACCATTCGATTGCTTTGTTTAATATTTCGCTTAAAATGTTTAAAGTCTAAAGGAGGTTTTGATTATAGCAATTATAAAGGGTCTTAGGAAAGACATTTTTTTAATATTTGTATGTTCTTTAATACAATTTAATGAATTAAACGCTATCTGATACTCTATGAAAATTTTCTTATTTTTTATTCCTGCTTTTTGTGTTTTTTGTTTGTTTAACTCGCAAATATGTCTATTATATAATTATTTTTTTAATTTTGTTGTTTACAAGTATTTGTTTCTATAACATGACGACACAATATTCATGATTGTTCAGATGCAACAGACACTTTTTTGTTTAAGAAAAGTAAACCAAAAACATTTTTTTAATAACAAAAAATTTTTTCTAAGAAAGCAAATACAAAAATCATTGATGTGATCATTAAAATATAAACATTATTGTAGTTTGTTTGTTATTTGTTCTTTTAAAATTATTAAATCGGTTTAGCAGCTAATATAATATTATTAATTTTGATCTTGTTTATTGCTACCATTCATACTTAAGTAAAAATGTATTTTATTTAAAAATTTATTTATTTATTTAGTTAATTGTTACTCGTTAAGTTATAGGATTCATTGAATGTGCTCATTGAAGTTCTGGAGTAGGGGATAAGGGGAAGACTTGGGAGGGATGCCAATTAAATATTAGAGAAAATATTGATTTTATTGTTTAAAACTAATATAGTATTCAATAAAATGTACGTATTATGTATATTAAAGTTAAAGAATTCATGCTATATTACACTGGTTTACAACCTAAATAGAGTTTTTATTATACTATATTAATTTTTCAGGATTTCCACCATCACTCACATGAGTTTCGTTTTACAATTTGTATTGCATTGTGATTTGTACATTAAGTAGTATAAAGTTATGAAGAGATTTATTGACAAAATATTTGTATAATAAGTAATCAGAAAATTAGAACAGAGTTAAGTGATATTCCTATTAATGTAATGAATATTATTATTATTTTTATTATTATTGAATTAAATAATAGTTAACAGTCTTTAGGAAGCCTTATATATTTATTAGTTAGTTTGTAATTATTAAATGTAAAAAAAATAATGATTTATTAAAAAATAAACTTCACAACGTTTATAAAATAAGTAATGTTTTTTTATACAGGTGATATGTCTTGTAGAATGATTATCGTTTTAGTGCTACTGCCTTAAAATATGCTTTGGAAATAGTTCAAGTAAATATATAATTGGAAAAGTGATCTGTTGTTAACATAAGTATGTGAAACCCATTTTAAATCCATAAGACCTGTTACTAACAGAAACAGTGCATACAAATCGCTCTTTAACTACAAAGCTGGCATAAATAAAAAACACCGACGATTTTAAATGTTCTTCATAATCAAATTAGAAATGAAAAGTGTGCCTTTGTTCTGTATTTTTCGAATCGAGCAGTCTCATTCGAATAATTTTCAAACTAAACAGATGTTTAAACAAAACGTTTATATTTTGACGAATCGAATTAAATTGTTACTTACTAAATATTTGTGAAAAAATTACGGTGCATTCGACATTTGCGCTGGACTTTATAATTCGAATCCAGATTTATGACAGTTTTGTAGTAAATGAGCGTTACGTTTAGTTAATTAAATTAGAAAATTATGTTTTATTGTTGGCTTCTTTAGAATATTATAGTCTCAAAGTATCTGAACCTTTCAAAAACAATCTAATAT